CCTCCTTCCTCTTTCCTTCCCTCCTCTCCTCCCTTCCCCCTCCTCTCCCCTCCCACACCCTTTTCCTGACTTTTCTTACTGACTAGGAAGGAGCAGCAAGGAGCAGGGTCCCAGGAGTGGGGACACAGTCAGCAGCAAGGGCTGGGCAGGCACCCGCCCTTCGCACCCTCCTCGGACCATCTCGGGCAGGTGGCTTGACTCCTGGAGCCCGAGTTTCCATGAGTGCACAGTGAACACCTTCTCCTGCACCCCTGGGTGGCCGTGTAGGAAAGGGGACAGGCAAGCTCTCTGAGAGGACTTTATACTTGCTTTCCCAATTGGTGGCTTCTGCCAATTTCATTTCTTATGGTGTAAAAACTCACCATTTGTCATGTTAGAAATATTTTCCCTAATTATGTTACCAACTCACTCTGAAATTGTACAAACTAACTCGAAAAGAAAAGAATTCACCTTTGCCAGCGATGCATGCAGTCCGGCAGTTGGGCACAGAGGTGGGCAACTCCAGACACATCATGCCCAGAGATGCCCCTCTGGTCAGTCTGCTGAGTTCAGTCTCCTGTGAGCCTCAGGGCCCGTCCTTCCCCAATGGGAGTGAAGCAGTGGTGGCTTTATCCACAGGACTTGGGAACCTGGGGAGTCGGTGCCCTCCGGGGAGGGTGAGAGTCCCCCTCTGCCTCCATGTCCCCAGGCCAAGCAGAGGTGCCCTGCTCAGGAAGCAGCCAAACCCCAGTTTCTTGTCTTACAAATCAGATTGATTCTGGCCGGACTAGTCCTGACTCAAAGTCAAGACCTCTGTAACTTCTGGACATCAGCAAAAGCAAGCTGGGACTTCTGCTGAGTCAATGGGAAAACGGCAACCGCAAAATAAATCGGCTGTGAAAGCAACTTAACTTCTCTAAAGATGTTTCGTTAACCTTGGGTGACAGATGGAAAACGGGAAGTTTTGTTTTATTTAATGAACATTTCAGTAATGCATGGTATTTCTATGTGTGGATTTTATTTTCTCTCTCTTAAAGCTCGAAGAACAGAAGTAAAACTGCCCTTGTATTTAACTTTAAAAAGCATGTCTAAGTGACAACTTATTTGTATTCAAATGTAATGATTATTGAAACTAACCCAAAGACCACTACTTTAGGATATTTTCATGTCTGATAACTTTTATCGAAACGGATTGCATATACAGAGATTTGAAAGAGAAATTTCAGTTATATATGGTAGCCCTTACTACCTCTTAAGGATGCAATAATTTTAAACTGATATGTAGGTTTATTGAGACTGCACAATTATAAATTCTAACCAGAACAACAGTCCCATGTGGACACACATCAACTCACCCACTCGCTCACATTCACGGGGGAGAAGACTCTGCTCTGGACGTTGGGGCTTGCGGAGAACAGCACTCTGGGCCTTGCTGTCCTGAGTCACAGCCCAGAAGAGGGCACAGCTTCCAATGCACAATCTCATTTAAAGAATATCCTCAGAACGGCCCTGATTGCACATTTTGTTGAGGTTCATTTAGTACCACGGGGAAGTGGATCAGCCGAGCCTCAGGTGCTGTAGAGACTCAGGTGCTTCAGAACTAGAGACTGGGTGCTCTCCCTGGAAGCAGGCTCTAAGGCCCTGCCCCATAGGATGTAAAATTAGAGAAAAAAAAGAAAGGTGCCCAGGTTGGGGGGAAAAGTAGTAAACTATCTTTATTTACAGATGAGATGATTCTGTATGTATAAAAACCCCAAGGAATCCACACACAGAAAAGAAATGAGAGGTAACTGATGATCTTAGCAAGGTCACAGGATATAAGGTCACTATGCACAAATCATTGCATCTGTACTTTGAACAATCGAAATATGAAATTTAAGAAAAAATCCTAGTCACAATAGCATCTCAAAGAATAGAATAGAAACAGATTTGACATCTGATGGGCAAGATGTACATTGAAAACTACAAAACATCGCTGAGAAAAATTAAAAGCTCTAAATAAATGGAGCGATGCTTCATGTTCATGGGTTGAAACACCTCAAATTACCAAAATGACAATTCTCCCCAAATTGATCTATAATTTCAACGTAATTCCAATCAAAAGCCCTGCAGCTTTTTTGTAGAAATTGAGAAGCTGATCCTAAAAGTATATGGCAATGCAA